TGCAAATTTCCAATGATGAATGTTATTATATTGTATACCTAAAATGTACCAATAAAGTAATTTTTTTTTTAAATCTAGGGAAAAAAATGATGTGAAAGTAGAAGAACTATTTGAGACTAGGCAATGGATTAAGAAAGGTAAGGGAAAAAACAAAGGGAAGATAGGCAAAAGATAAGAGAAGATAGCTATGATAAAAAATATATGCATATATGGAAATCCCACAATAAGTGCTATTTTTCTTTATAATCAATATGCTCTAATAAAATTATATAAATTATATTAAAGACAGAAAGATAGATTAATGATATTGCAACATACTGTGATGTGTAGTGATTTGCTTGTTTTATAAATATAAATGATATCTAAAATTCTTAAGCTAAGAGGTTAAATTTTTTAAGTCATAGATTTATCAGTGTATAGGTCATGTAGCCTGTCTACCAGCTTCCTTGCCATTATTTTCATCAGGTTTCTTTGTTTCTTGTGGATTAGAAGAGAAAAATAGTGAGAATATAAAATCATGATAATATACTGAAGTTGGGAAAAATAATATCATAGCATAAGAATATAGAAAATAAGCTCTGCAATTAGATACTTTCCAATTGATGGTAACAACCTATTCACCAGAAAGAATAATGCTAAAAAGACTAAGATGATCAAGTGCTGGTATTGATGTAAGTAGGGAGCCCCCGGAACTGTTATGAACTCTGATTGGACATTTAATTGATACAGTGATATGTGACAATAAGTTAGACCTTTTTCAAACAATTTGAATAATTGACTTGCTAAATAATTTCAGAAAAAAATAAAGTCATAGATGTAATATTTTTAAAAGAACCTATTGGGAACTTCACTGTTAAATATATATCTAACAGAAATGTATATACATGTTAACCAAAAATCATGGTCAATAATTTGATTAATCATATTTGTAATTTATCAGGCTGGAAGTAATCAAAGCATACATCAAAAGATGATAAATTATTTTAAATTCATACAATTGAAATTCACAGAATGAAATTAACAGAATGAACTACTGTTATGTACAACTTGAATGAAACTGTGTCAGACTCAAAACAATAACTATGTACCATTCTATTTTTTAAAAGCTCGTAATGGAATCAACCAATGATTTTAGAAACTGAGGCAATTGTAAATTTCAGGACAAAGCATAGTGACTGGGATGGAGTACAAGTTTTATTTCCACAAATGAGCTCAAGTTGTACATCATTACATAGCTATTATGTGAATAGCCTTTTCATTTGTCAAAATATATCAAGGTGCACTCTATATTTCTGCACTTTTCTATATTTATTACTTGAATATGTTGGAGAAGTGATGTGAAAAATACAATGAAATAAGCAAACTCAGAGCAGTGAGAAAAAAACTGGTTGTGCCAGCTTGATCGGATAATTCCCAGGGTATTTCAATAGAGATTAGTACAGATGGACATTTCAAAGCAACAAAAAGAGACAAATGATTGCTGAAATCAACACATAAAACAATTGAAAATATTTTTTAAAATTTTTTGAAATCAATCTTCAGATAATTACTCATATATAGTCTATTGAAATGGGAGAATACAAATGAGAAAACCAATTTGCTTGAAAAGACGTATTATTTTAACCCACACATTCACAAAATTTCAAAATGGTCATCAGAATTCCAAAAAAGTTTCAGTGGAACTAAATATAAGCTGTCATAGGCACAGATGTTTCTGCAGTTTACCCTACATTAACTATAATTTTAGCTTTTGATATTTCTCCTCTTCAGGCAACGGCTATGATCCCAAATGCACTGCCAGATGGTAACAAAGTTTGTATCATGCACTCTGGAAACCAAATCCAAAAACTGAGAGTTTTGTTCAGTGGACCATTGTTATATTTGGCCTACATTACTAAAGTGTTTAGCACAATGAAAATTCCAGACAAGAATTATGTTAAAATGTCTTACTTCTTTATATCTTATAATTTCTAAATATGCGATCATTTTTTCTTATTTCTCAGGATACTTTCCCTTTAAATTGTTGTGATTACTACATAGTCATTTTTTTCTACAGACTACAATACTTAAATATACACTGAGATAATCTGTTTAATTCCATTTTTTATTTTAACTGGCTCTAGCCAGTATTTGCTTTTAACTATATTTTGTTTAGGAATTTGGCAGCTGAAGAATATCAAAATTTTAATGGAATCTATACAGAAAGCCAGTTTTTACCTCTGGCAAATAAAAACAATGAATTAACTTACTAATTTAAATGTCTCCAGTTTAATATAACAAATCCCTTCTACTTACTGGCAGGAAAGAACTGACCATTTACAAAGACTTTTGAAAACTGAAACAATTTCTAAATGGAATATGTTCCATATACGTGGGGGCGCTTATTTTTATTGAAGGTATGTAAAAAAAAAATACTCCAAATAACACTTCCTCTGAAGTAAAAAACAAAACTCAGTCACAAATTTTTTGTTGCTGTTTTGTTTTGGTACCGGGGATCAGACTCAAGACCTTGCGCTTGCAAGGCAGGCAGTGGAACCACTGAGCTAAATCCCCAGCCCAGTCACAAAAATTTTGCTTCTAAGACAGCATGTTTTTAATAAAAGCCAACATGGAAAGTAACAAAACTTGTATTGACCAAGCATCAATTCATTGTTTATGAATTTATGATTCCCATCACGCTTTCTCTTCTTCCTATTGTCATGCCACCAGCTGTTTCTCCTCTGCCATGCACCTGTGCCACGCCACACTGTCTTGGAAATAGTTGGGGCCTGGTATTGTTTATTAAGGTAGTATTTTTGTGTGTGCCTGTATCCAAATCTCCTTTCTTATGAGACCACTTGTCACATTGGATTGAGGACACACCCTACTCCATTATAATCTCTCAATCAGTCATGGTGAAACTTTTAGAGGTGAAACTTTTTTGAGTGATGCAAACAGCCCACTGCAGCATGCTTGCCATAGATTCACCACAGCTGCTTCTCAACTGTATATGTCTGCAACAACCCTGTTTTTAAATAACATCTCCTTCTGAGGACTAGGACTTTAACATAAATTTTGAAGGAACTCATCACATAGGTTGAGTTTCAGTGAAACACAGCAATGACCATGAGAGAAGAAAGCAGAAGAAACTAATTAATATAGAAGAAAACAAAATAATCTACCAAAGGCATTTATCATCCTGGTGGTAGTTCTACTGCTTACAATTGGAAATCACAGTACACTTGAAAATCTTGAGCAGATTTTCAGCCAGGCTAAAAAATAAAATTGGGGGAACTTAGATCATTATAAAATATTCATTGAACAAGGATTTGCAGTGACTAAGAGAGGAGATTCAAGTGTAACAGGCTATCTTTTACGGCAGGGGTAGAAATTATTGTAGTTTACTATCTGGACTTTGAGAAAAAAATAAATAAAATGTAAGTGCACTATCAAAACCTGAGAAAGCAGAAGTGCAGAAAAGTAGTCCATAGACAGAACTGAGACTTCACATCTAGAAAACAATCATGAACTCAATATGTATTCACGTTGAGTTCACGATGAGATCCATTTACGAATTGAATTTATGAATTTTAGTTCACATTAATTGGTTATACTTATGTAACTTACATTTGCACTCATTAGTATAGATTTTCAACACTGTATTATGCCAGTAATTATAATAAGAAAGGAACTACAAAGATGAATAAAATCAAGCTCCTGTCCATGAGATAGGAGAGAAATATGAGCAGCTAAAAAGGTAAGACCAGGAATGAGCAAAGAATTTCAGGAGACTTGGGAAATAGTGGCTAAAAGTGGAGATTTCATTTAGTTTTCCCCCAAAGAGCATTTAAATTTTTTCTGTCAGAAAAATCACAAGTTGCTTCAGTAGCTGAAAACCAAACATGGTACAGATGATCTGCCTGTGCCTGCTGATGGGTCAATGGCAAACTAATACAACTATGCAGATGCATCCTTTTGCAAGAGCTAACAGTTTAAGGATCACTTAAACAATATACATAACCAGATCCCACAGAAAGCATTTTGAATCCATTATAAATAGGAATTTACAAAGCATTAACATTTATGTAGGGAGACTTTTTTCTCATACGGTATGTGACTAATTTTATTTTTGTCACATTAGAGAACAGCAATTTATTTGGAATAATTCATCAAGTAAATATTTATACTAATCTAATAATACTCAAAATAGCCAAAAATCTGTACTCTGGCAGATGAAAAGAAAGACGACGTAACATTGGAAATTACATGCATTGGATGTGTTATGACAAATTTCTTAAAATTCTAGGCTTTTATAATAAAATTTTGAGTGCCTCTTTTCCTTTTATTGTCAGAAAATGCAAGTGTCTGCAAAGAAAATACAGTTGTGAGGGCTTTGGGAGACTAAATACTCAAATAGCTTCTAAGATTGATTTTGCAGCATAAAAACATTCTTACATTTCCAGTAGTCGATAAAATGGGAATGATAGTAATGATGCAGCACAAAGTGCTATTGTCAATGTTAAATGAAATAACATATGTAAAGCTTTTATAGTAGTGCCTGGCATAAAGAAAGCCTATGGAAGTATTAACTTTTACTATTCTTTAAATTGCTCAGTAAATTAAATGATATCCTTACCCTATAATTATGGTAGACCAAAGCCTGATTTCTCATGATTAACTTCACAAAAGTCTTATTAAAAGTGATAACCAATACGTGGGCATTTAAATTTTATATCAAGAAATTAACTTATGCTCTCAAGTTAATTTCGTTTTGGTTTCCTGGTCTTAGTTTGGTTGTGTAAAAAGATATTTAAATACTGTTCAAATATCAGTAGCAAGTACATACAGTATCAGAGAGAGAGACATTCATGACCCAAAGTAAAAGAAATTTTTATTGTAATAAAAATAGTCTTGACAATGTAAAATTTAAATACATGATCACATAGCATCAACTTCCTTAAGCCATCATTTCTTTCTTCCATGTGTACACCAGTTTCCTCATCTGTGAAACAGAAATTGCACTTTCAGCATAAAAGAACTTTAAAGTCCAAATGAATACAAATTGATATACATACCAAATATATATTTAGAGTCAAGGGAAAAAGTCAATGCAGTATGGATTCTATTGTCAAAGAGCTTTGGTTTAAAATTTGTCTCTACTTTTTGCTAGTCTTGTAACATTAGAAAGTTACTTGATTTCTCTGAAATCAAATTTTTGTACCAATAAAGAATATCCTCTTGAAGAATAAAGAACTATCCTCTTGAAGCTTATGAAAACCGTATAAAAGAACTGTGACATTTTTTCATCATAAATAGAATAATTACACCTATATAATTTAAGTAAAGTACATACAAATTAATAGGATTCAGAGGTTCCAAATATTTTCCAAGCATTAGAGTTAAGAATTATGCAAGGAACTGGTGTATGCATGTGCAATGTGTGTACTCAGAAATATGCTATTCATCGTGTGTCCTTCAACTATAACATTCTCACATATTTTTGTCTCTTGCTTGAAAAGGGAGGGAAAGAGAATAATATTTAAAAAGCAAAACTATACTTATCCACTTGAGAAAATTTCCTGTACACTGTAGTTGTTATCCTTTCATTATAAAAATTGGAACTAGTTTATTACTACAGCTTTTCAGGATCTTTGTCATATATTTCATCTAAAAGATGACAGGATTAATTTTTTCTCCTATATATGAGTATTAATAAAATTAATTTTCTTATACAATTCCTTGAATACAAAACAAATCAAAGATGAAAAATACATAATTATATTTAAGACACACAAGTATGATGGCTTATAATAACTTCTCTGGTTATTTTATCAGGTAATACAAAAGGAATGAAATGTTATTGCACAAGTATTATTGCAGTATGATAATTTCTTCTTACAACATACTTTTGAAATTTCAGACATCTCTGTAATTTTAAAATTTTTCTCAAAATGTATAGTCCATTAGGAACATTAATTCAGAGTTATTGGGTGCTAGTTTTGATTTGCTTTATGTTTCATGTAAACTGAAAAAAATACCATGGTAGAGTACTTATTTCAGGTTATTTGATTACTTTAATTTAATAAACACCATCTGGGGGGACAGGAACATGAATATTTGCATACATCTGGGCACAAATACAATGTTGCTACAAAACTGATTAATAATTGTACTTAGGAGGCCACTATTCACTGTATTTACATATTGGTGCCAGTGGGAAAGGGGAAAATGAATATTCATCATTCTTCTCTTGCCTTAATTTGAAAAGGGCATTAACTAATGTTGTAACTTGTGTGGTAGTATGTACTACAGAGAAATAACTTGCTTGGTGCTTTCTCTCCTCACATTTTTTCTCTCCTCTACGAATTTCTAAGTACCATCCTGGGTCATAGGGTCAGAATTTGGTGTCAGATCATTCAATTATTTCCTTAAAAAGGTCTCATTTATAGAGTTATTGGTGTTAAATACGATTGTCCCTAAAGCAAGTATATGCACTGCAAGATTATTAACAAACAAGAAGGTAACTAATTTATGTACATACTTAATAATAAAGAAAAACAAGAAAAAATGCGAAGAAAAAACTTTTATAGAAGAAACATAAATGTATTCCTTCATAGTTCCTTGACTAAGAACATCCAAGATTAGAGAATAAAGCTTGAAAATGTGAATAATGTTCATAAGTGGAAAGAAGCATTGCTCCCTTTTTAGTGTGATCATAACTGGGGACAAAACTTACAACCACTTCCCAAATGCCAGGGTTATATATCCTCATGACTATCTTAGCTCGGAATTTAAATATTTAGACCTCACTTCTTGTATCTAGTTAGTTAGTTCTACATGACTAAAACAAATAAAATTAGCAAAGATGGAAGAAAAAAGGAGAATGTTTAGAGAAATCACTACATATCAGCAACACAAATGAGAAGCCATAGATACATCTGTACAGTGTTCAACTTCTCTATTCCAAATACTTAAATTTTTACTGTTAGTTTTAAATAATCCTGTTATCTTTAAAAAATTTACTAGAAAAAAAATTTACTAGATAAAAACCCTTTACTTAAATTGTATTACATTCTCCATTTGGCTATGTGAAAAACAAAAATAAAACATATTAAATGTTTCTCAGAGAGATGATGGTGAGTATTTTTTGGTGAGTAATTACTGATTATCACTACACCATCTTCCCTTGGATTAGTGAAACATATGAACTTGAAAATGGAAAGATAAATTAATCTGCCTATTGTGACTGATTTGAAGATAATAAGATGTTAAAGTCTCAAACCTGGGAAAGCACTCATTGTTAAGGATAGGAAGAATTTACCTTGGTCTATGTAAAAATCTAAAGGGAGATCAACCTTTCCGACTTGGTCCTGTAAACCACACAGTATATTATAATTTTAACACAATACAAAAGAAGGTAATAGATGTTAACACCTAACCTTGGGGTTCTAAAACATTCAATTTAATTCACTGGAAATTTGATCGTGCATTTTTAAACCTTTGAATACTGACAGGATACAAACTTCATTAAGTGATGCTTAAATGTACTGCTTATCTCTTTGAGTTTGGCTTTTGGCATTATGCTCATAAAAGGTTATTTGAAAATGTTCCAAATGTTCAAAAATATTGATAGCACTTTAGTTTCCATATTCTTGTTAAAGTAGTGTTTTGCCAATCTACTGTTACATTATATAGATTACATATTTTTGATGTATTACTAGAAACACATTTTTCAAAAGAAATTCATGGACTATAAATATTTATGGTCAATAATGAAATTCTTGTTAGTTAAAGCAAGCAATGCCAAATACCTTAAATAAATTTTTTCAACGCAATGGATTTACAATCATTGTGAAAGGCAGATGATTTTTATCTATTTGAAAACTGATTACTGAAATATTCCAAATTCTTTTAGGATTATATATGAAAATAAATTGTATGCCTTAGATAGAACAATTTTTCTATAGTGACTTTATTTACTATTCCAAATGCTTTTTTTTAAACCAAACTAGTTTAATTAATGCAAGCTAAACATAAGAAATAACTACAAATGAATTTATTTAAGGAAGGACAGCCACTCTGTGTAAGTAATGGTTTTTATCTGTGGACATGTCCACACAAAATTGAACTACTTGTCAATGATACTTCAGAAAGAATTTCTGAGAAAGGAAGAAATGACACCCAAATAGAGTGACCAAATAATTTCTTGAAACTGTGAAACGTGAACGACAGTGAATGGAGCACAATTAATTATTATGATGGGCAATAATTTTAAATCTCGACTTCCTCAGGCCCAAGGGGAAAAAAAAAGCCTAAAACAAAAGGATATGTGGTCCCTTTCGTGATCAAGACATGGTGGTACATAGCTACATTATTTTCAGAAAGCTTTAATTAGCTTTTATGGAGACTTAACGATGGCATAGATTCTGTCTCTGATTGAGAGACAGCTCATGACTCTGGCACTAAAATGCAATCCAAAGCCTGATCTCACTCTCTGACATCATTAATAAAGCTAAAGAGTTGACATAGGAAAAATAAAATAATTAACCATCAATACAGTGATGTGGAAAAATTAAAATGGGTCTCAGCTCCAAATATTGTGTCACACAATTCCAAGCATATTCATAATTCAGATTTGCATAATTATAGATGATCTTCTAAATATACGGGGAAAATGAAATCTGTGTAACCAAGAAACAAGTATAATTTATATATATGTATATAATATATATAATGTAGTACCAAAATAAATATTTTTAAATATCAAGAATCAGAAAGTGCTAATTGTTTAAGGTAACAGTACTTTGGGTGTTAGGGGACAGAGAGCTCCAAACCACCCAATTGACCTCATTCATTGACCTTAGAAACTAATCTTGCTTACTGTTCTTGTTAGGTGGGAAGAGGGTGTAAGCTTATGAAACACACATTGTGTTAGTCCAGTCTCAGAGCTCCCTTGCATTTAAAAATAAAGACCTCGGCTCAGTGACAGAGCATTTGCCTAGTAAGTATGAGACCCTAGGTTGCATCCCCAGTACAAAAAAATGAAAATGAAAATGCCCAACAGGAATCCACTTTCTTACTGAAGTCTCTCTAACATTCCTAAGGGCACAGCAGAGGCAGAGATAGAAGAAAATCGAAATGTCTACGATACAGACTCTCTTTCCCACAGCTTTATTTTTCCTTTTAATCACACAATGATGGGATAAGAAATCAAGGCCTCTGTATTCTAGTTTTTTTCATTCTGAGGACTAGGCAAGGAAAAGTCTAACCTTTGAATTGTGAGGTGTTCTGACTTTAAATAGTTTCATGGTCTACTGTTTTCAAAACATGTTTGTGTTGCGAAAAATATGGCAGGAAATGTTAATGCAAAGTATCAACAGGAAAATCTCATTAAACCATTAAAAATTTCTTTTGAAATAATTATGAAATTTCAAATAGCTAAAACTTGTTATATGCATTTGCACCAAATTATAGTGTTTACACAAATTACTGGGAATGTTCTAAACTAAATTAAATTATTATGGTCATTATTATCTATTCCAGCTCAATGTGTTAATTACTTTCAAAAGGTTAGTACCAACCAATTAATATATTTTTCCTAACTTGTATTCTAATTGTTTTATAAATTCCCAATTTTAACATTTTATCTCATACATTTCTCCTGGCTGCAGGATTCGCTGGTATCTTTATCTTGTGCTGAGGACATTAGGCTTTTGGTTACAAGAATAACCTGAATTCCCATTCTTTGCCAGGGCAATGGATACAGAATTCTCAGCATTCATTTAACTCCAAAGTAACCAATAATGCTATCACGTCTTTACTTTCTCCGCAGTGCTTTCACTTAGCTAATGCCAGAAGTTTGGACTTTTTGTTAAGGAGAAGATAAAACTAATAACCAATGTTTCTCTTGCTGAAAATAAAATTAAATGTATAAGGTGAAATGCATGTCTCAGTCTCTTCAGCACAGGAATGTATTCATTGCCCTCATGAAGATTACAATCA